CGCCCAGCTATTATTACATCCTTTCTGAAAGGATGTAATAATAGCTGGGCGTAATGGATGTTTAATAAGTATAACAATTTGTATACATGTATATTAGATTGATGATACTAATAATGGGGGGAAAACATGGAATTGAAAATTACTAGATAATGTTATTAATGCTAAAATAATAGAATGATGTCACAATAAATTTAGTTAAATATAGTTACATTTTGAGTGCTATGTACAACGTAATAACAGCTATAGTCAAATAAATGATTAATAATGATAACAAAGCATTTATATATACTAGATTGATAATATGAAATCTTATGTGAACTGTAAGTGAGGATTATGGAGATGATGTTGAAAAGCCATTTTATAAAAGATAAACAATTCTATATAGAATAGATTAGAAAGGTGTAATATCATTGGATGATTTCAGGATAATGTAATAAAATGTTATAATTTAAATTTACTTCAAATTTAATATGACTTATGTTGAAAGGATGTAATAATAGTTGGCCTTAACGGATGCTTAATAAGTATAACAATTTGTATACATGTATATTAGATTGATGATACTAATAATGGGGTAAAAACATGGAATTGGAAACTATTAGAGAATATTATCAATGCTAAAACGATTAAATGGCTTAGAATAGGAGGAAGCATAATAACAATGTATACAAAGATATCTTGATTGTCAATATGTGAACTTTGATAAAATTCAAGTGAGGATCACGGAAAGGACACAGAAACACCTTGTAACCAATTGACACACTGTGTGTAATTGAAGAGACATTTATGTTATATGTGTTTTGTGTTTGTGTTTGTCTGAAAATAACAATTTTATTTAAAAAAAGAAATAAATGTTCTCAATACTTTTCTGTGAGATAGGTCAGGCTGAAAGACCCTATCTGCTCTGAAGTCACATAATGAGCTTCCATGGCTCATGCAGCTAGGTTGTTTGTTTGTTTTTTTTTGAGAAGGAAACTCTTCCAGGGGTCAATACAAGGTTCTTGCTCCTCTCCTTTTAGATGTTTTCTCCTCTGAGTTTTCCAGTAGTTGGATTAGCTGGACTACAGCAGCATTTCAGTTACAAAGGGATCATTTCATTTCAAAAGCCAAAGAAGGAACAGGAGGGGAGTTCCACACAGGGCTTTTCCAACAGCCGAACTCCCCTCCTGTTCCTTCTTACCTGTTTGAAGAAGCCACATGGGGCATGCTCCCTTCTCTTTGACATCTCCCTTGTTTTCAAATGGGGGGAAGAAATCCATCTTTTCCTCCCTCTGCATGGATCACCCCCCCAATTGGAAATGAGGCAGCTGTGAAGGGAACGTGCCCCGCATGGTTTCTTCAAACAGGTGAAGAAGGAACAGGAGGGAAGTTTGGTTGTTGGAAAAGCCCTGCATGGCTTCTTCAAACAGCCAAACTCCACTCCTGTTCTTCCAGCAGGCCAGATCAGGAGCGTGCGCCAGGTTGTTGCTCCTCCTGCTGCTGCCGCTGTCGGTGCGATTCTCATGAGGGAAAGAGAAAAAAATAATAAAAGGCTCTGCGATGGTGGGACCAGCCCATCATGGAGTGACACCCCCCAATCCCCCGCCCAGCAGAGCTTTTTTCCCCTCAGCTAGGCTCTTCTTCATTCCTTCCTTCCCTCAGCACCCACCAAAGCGCTGGCCCCACTCTTCTTTCCTCACTGCTGCTGCACCCCCTCTGTGTGCCCGGTCGCAGGCCTGAGGAGGACCGAGTGATGGCAGCACGGGGCATCTGGGAGTGGTGGTAGCTACTGCTCCTGAGCTCGCTGTGGGTGCCCTGACTCCCCCACCTGATCAACAAGAATCAGTTAAAAATAAAACCAAAGTAAAACCATCTTTTTATTTATTTCAAGTATTTATAAAGCCATCCCACTCAATCTATTTCAGTTTCATAGAACAAAAATGAACACTAAAGAAAAGACCCTATACATCATTTAAAAATAAGCCAATCAATAAAATAAAATCTTATTTTGTACCCTGGTTTTGGTCCTATATAAGTTGTCTAAAGTCAATTGATCAATGGGCAGGACCGCAGTGGCTCACATGGTTAGGATGCTGCACAAATGATTGACAGGCTTGTATTTGTGATCTGTTGCTGCCAAGTGGCATGATCAGCTCCCATTACTTGTCCCAAATATAGGAACCACCTTTAGTGGGAAGGTAACAGCATTCCATGTGTCTTTGGTATTTAGTCATGCNGTCAAGCTATTCTCCAAAGCACCTGAGGGCAGGACAAGAAGCAATGGGTGGAAATTCATCAAGGAGAGAAGCAACTTAGAACTACAAAGAAATTCCCTAATAATTACAACGATTAATCGGTGAAACAATTTGCCTCCAGAAGTTGTGAATGCTCCAACATTGGACCTTTTTAAGAAGATGTTGGACAACCATTTGCCTGAAATGGTTTAGGGTTTCCTCCCTAGGTGGGGGGTTGGACTAGAAGACCTCCAAGGTCTCTTCCAACTCTACTCAACTCTAACTTTAACTGTAACTCTAATTCTAATTTTTATTATTCTATTCTATTTTCTATTCTATTCTATTCTTATTTTTTCTTATGCTATGCTATGCTATGCTATAATATTCTTCTTCTTCTTCTTCTTCTTCTTCTCCTCCTTCTTCTTATCTCTATTCTATTCCTTATCCTATCCATCCTATCCTATCCTATCCATCTCAAAGTCAAAGCTGGAACTTCTTCAGCCATCTGACTTTGATATTAAAGTGCAGAACTCACTCAGCTAGAAATTAGGTAAGTAAATTAGGTAAGTGAAAAAAAGAAGTAAGAGATAAACCTTTTGGTCCCATAAAAACCCCATAAGAATTTGCCCCCACCACCCCCAGCCACAAGGCCTTCTCTCTTTCCCACCTTCAGATTCTCTCCCATCCTTCCTTCTCCTCCTTCGTTCTCCTACTCTTCATCCGTTTACCTGAATATCCGGGCAAGCAGTCGCATTGGTAGCTGTTCACCAAATCCACGCAGCTCCCTCCATTCTGACATGGCTCAGATTCACATTCATTGGTGTCCACGGAGCAGGTATCGCCTGCAAAGGGATTGCAAAGCAAATCGCGCTCAAAATCCTGCATTTCTCGTTGATTTACTTTTTTCTAGGATCGATTGCTAACTCAAGCGGGCTTGGATTTATGAACTCGACCAGTGGTGGGTTTCAGTAGGTACGGTATGGTACTGACGTATCGATAGTAGCCAGGAGTAACTGACAGCGTAACTGGTAGCGACGGGGAGAGGAACCAGTGGTGGGATTCAGTCGGTTCGCACCTATTCGGTAGAACCGATTGTTAACTTTCTAAGCAGTTGGGAGAACCAGTTGTTGGAAGAAATCTCCTTTGGTTTTTCTCCATTTTACAGGGCTAATCCTGTAAGGAAGGCAGGAAGGAAGCATTCTGGTGTTGTTTCTAGCCTAATCTTTATTGCCCTGCTTACAGAAACTGCCTCTCCGGTTAACCCTGATTACATTGTAACAGCTAAGGTGAAGCACCCATCAATGTCAGCGATGTTGAGTTGGCCTCTCCCACCCAGTCACATGACCACTGAGCCCTGCCTACCCAGTTGGTCTTTAGGGCAGAGAACCGGTTGTTAAATTATTTGAATCCCACCACTGAGAGGAACCCACCACTGAACTCGACACACAGCAATCCCCGCTGAAAAATCCGTTCTGTTCTTTTGCGGCATTTAAAGACACATTTTCACCATCCAAAATGACCCCTTGGAAGAAAGGCCGACAGGCCAAGAATGAAAATGCAGTTCAACGTATATAAAGATCTAAAATCAGGAGGGGGGTCAAGCTGTGTACCGGGCTGGCCACAGCAGAGTGGGAAGGCAGATGGGTAATGGGGGATGTCAGGATCGCCATCGTGGCGACCACAGGGCAGCAGTGATGGGGGGCGATGGGCAAAGGAGACAACAAAGCTGTGTGGCGGGGAGGCATGGCAAGGTTTGGCTCCTAGGGATAGCTGTAGATCAGCTACGAGGAGCAGAAGTCTGGCAGCGCAAAGAACAGCTGTTTCGGCCCCACAATCAGTTGGGCTGAAACTTCGGTGCATGCTGTCTACCGGGGCGAGACTAGCGCTCGGGAGAGCCGTGGCTTGCCTATTTAAGAGAGGCGGAAGTTCCGGCACTGGTTTCGCATGAAACACACTGCTTACTGACTGTTTTGCTGCTGCATGACCTCATTACGTGCATGAGTCCGGCTGAATAAAGTGTGTTACCTCATGGGTGGCGTTTTCATCCAGTTTCAGTCCACAGCTTGGAAGTTTGGACTCCCAGCAGTGACAAACTCAAGGCCCAGGGGCCGGGGCTGGCCTATGGGGTGCTTAGATCTGGCCTGCAGTGCCTCTGTCAATGAAAACAGACTTCAGGAGGGCTGTTTGTGGCCCTCCTGAGCTCCATTTTCGCTGGCAGAGGGATGCAGGAGGCCATCGCAGCAGAAAATGGAGCTCACGAGAGCCACGGGCGGTCCTTCCCAGCTGTGTTTTCTCTGGCAGAGGGATGCAAGAGGCTATTGCAGTTGAAAATGGAGTTCGCAAGGGCCACGGGCAGCACTCTCAAACGCCATTTTCACTAACAGAGGGCTGCAGGAGGCTGTCGCAGCCAAAAACGGAACTTGGGAGCCCGTTTTTGCTGGCAGAGCGCTTGGGCCACCACAGAAGCCCTCAACAGGAGTGACGTAAAAGTGGACACACACACCCTGACCACACCCACCCCAGCCCACCAAGGTCAAACACAACCCTGATGTGGCCCTGGTCTATCCCATGAAAACCACTGCTGAAGCAATCAGACAGATTTCTCGATCTGTTGGCCAGATCCCCCTTTAGACCCCAAAGGATTTCCCAAACAAGTGAAAAGGACGCACCCTCAAAACCGGGATGACAACGACAGATGAAACCAGCGGCTGCTTCGTAGCTAAACTGCTCGGGGAAATCGACGTGTCTCCCGTAGTAGCTCTGATTGGAGCGTTCCAGGCACTCTCCATCGTTGAGACAGGGGTGTGTTGCACACTCGTCTATATCTTCTTCGCAGTGTGTTCCCACATACCCTAAGGTCAGAGAGCGAAGGGACAGAATGTGTGCAAAAGCAGGAACTTTGGGGGAGAAGGTGAGGTCTCATCTCACCTCAACCAGGTTCTTGTTTGATCGCAAGGACAGTCCGGAAAATCTTTCCAGTGTTATTCATAAATGTATTCATTAAAAAATAGGAATGGGGTGGGGGGGAAACCCCACAAGTCTGTTCTGACCTAGGCTTAACAGAATCACAGAAAAGATTCCTTGTCCCGATCTTGTCAGAGCCTTCATCCGAGCCTTCCTCAGACTCCAGGACTGGCCCATGTTCTTCCCCAACCTCCTCACTGTCCAAATCTGTAAAACTGACAAGTCTGGGAGAGTCACAAACCAATGAAGTAAACTAATTGTCTCCTGCAAACTCCACTCCCCTTTCATCCCTCTTTTATTTCCTCTGGGAGGGGCCATTCATCGTCCACCTGTGGCCTTACTCCCAAGTGTTCTTTAGCTGTTCCCTTCGTCTGGCAACTCTGCCCATGCGCACACTGGTAACAGGCTCCAGCTGTTCTTCTGCCTCACTGATGTCTGACTCCAAAGGCAGCTGATAACAAACATACGGCTCTGGCCCCCTCTCTGCCTCTGACACAGAGTCCTCATCAGAGCCTTCCCCAGCTGCTAGGACTGACCCATGCTCCTCCTCAACCTCCTCACTGTCTGACTCTGCTGCCAGTTCTGCTGGCTGCTGGCGGGCCACAACAAAGCCCCCCACTCACTCAGCAGTTGCCAAGTTTTTTTTTTAAAAAACATGCTTCTAAATGCTTTCTACTCCCTNTTCCCTCCTTCCTTCCCTCCTTTCTTCTCTCCTTCTCTCCTTCCTTCCCTCCTTCCTTCCCTCCGTAATGTTGATAGACTGCCAGCCTTATTGTATATTAGCCCTGGAAGATAATGGAAGGGACACTTCGGTAAATACAATTAAAGGGAGATCGTAAAAAACAGAAGTTTGCATTTGAAAATAAATACGGCTAAGGCCGCGGAGTTGACAAAGAGACCAGCATTTTATGGAGTCTAGAAGGAGAACTACACTATATCAACGAAGAAGCTTGAGATCAGCGGGAATTTAACTACTTTACGTTTCGAAATATTTTATATTTGCCTTGTGAATATTTCATCCTTTCATATGAAACCGAGAGGGCTGCATTTACGGATGTTTGCTTGGAACGTGAGTCCTTTTGCCTCTTGGCTAAACAGGACGTCCTCAACGTACGACCAGACGGGAGGCCAGCATTTCTGTTGTGAAGGGAAACGAGTGAATTTTGAGCCATTACTCATCACCGTTGTTAAGTGGATCGCTGCCGCTTTTAAACGAGTAACGCGGTTCTTAAGGGAACCGGGCTTCCCCGTTGGACTTTGCTTGTCAGAAAGTCACAAAAGTGGGAATCGCGTGACCTCGGGATAAAGCGGCATAAATATGAGTCAGTTGCCAGGCATCTAAATCATGGGGAGACACTGCAATGATTGTACGTGTGAGGAATGGTCACAAGTCACTTTTTTCAATGCCATTGTAACTTTGAACAGTTGTGCCAGGGATCGATTCCAACAGGCACTACTGTTGATTCGCTCGTGTGCATCCATGCACAGTACAATAAAAATTGTTCTGCGTATGCACAGAAGCTAAAAACAAGATGGCGCCGCCGTAGGAGAACCAGTTTCGGCGGCGTGGCAGTGCCTGGGTCGCTGGTGGTTCCAGCAATCCAGGGCGCCAAGCCACTACGGGTTCGGCCGAACTAGAGGTGGGTTCCTACCAGTTCGCACCTATTTGGTAGAACTGGTTCGTCAAATCTAGCGAACCGGTTAGATTTAGATTTAGATTTAGATAAGTTTATTTATATGCCGCCCTTTTCCCTGGGGGGACCCGGGGCGGCTCACAACTTAAAGGGGGGGGGGGGAGGAAGACAAACTTTTACATATAAGACAATACATAATTAAAAACACAACATTCATACCATTCGGGC